CGCATGCGCCCTATAGCAAAAACCTCTTAAAAAAAAGAATTAAATAAATAAAACTAAAAATTTAAAAATAAATAACAATTCATCTAAAAAATATTTTGTTTACATGAAAAAATGATGTAAATAAAAAAATGAGTAAATAATTGTGTACAGGCCTTATCTGGATGTGATGAAATCTGTTGTGTCTGTAGTTTGAGGAAACCCTCCCTGTTATGCTTCTGCTTTCTCTGCATTTGTAGCAGCTCTCTCAAAATGAATGGAAACCCCCAGAACCAAGTGGTGGTGCAGCAGTACCATAACTACTAACAGATCCACATGACATAGGTCCTGGGTTTGTATCCTGGAACTTCCTTAAACATGCTAGGTACACATGCATATACCCACGATCCATACCAGATGAGACTGGGGGCGCATGGTGGCATGAAGACCCACTAGGAATGCTGTCTCTCTCTCTCATGGAAAATAAAAGTGAATTAACTTAAATGTAAACAAAGAATGAAAGTTTTGCTTACCTTTATTTATTTATTTTAGTTTTGTCATAGGGCACATACACTCACCAGAGAGTGACAGAGAGAGGGAAAGCAAGAAATCACCCTCCAGGGGGGATGGTCACAATGCAATCCCTTCTCTTCCATTCTCCTCTCAGGATTTTGGGCATGCATGCATATGTGCCTGGAATGTTTTTCAAGCTACTGGGTCCAGGACTTGAACCATGCAGTTAGCTATGTGAATGAGATCTGGCTACTTTTTTTTAAAAAAAATAATTATTTTATTTAACCTTATTTATTTATTGTTATTATTATTTTCCAGTTTGATCAGAGAGAGGGAAAGTGAGAAAACAAGCCATCAGGTCCAGGACTTGAACCATGGTTGGCCATGTGGGAGTCCAGCACCTTTAACCACCACACCACCTGCTGGCCCTGGGATATGATTACATTAATCACCATATCACCTGCTGGCTCCCCACTTACCTTCAGATGTTGGATAATTTCCTCCAAAGGCACCTCGGTGATCAGACATATGTCCAAGGATCCAGGAACTGGATGAGCCGCTTTGGGTTCAAATTCCTTACCTACCTCATGGAGGTTAAATTTCTGGTTTCCAAAACACAATGCTTTTCTGTCTCCCTGTTTGGGAGAGAGAAAACAACCTGGAAATCAACTTCAAAGTTAGGAGTTAAAGCCCCTCCTATCTACCTCAACAAACTAAAATAATAAAAAGTAGAATAGGGCTCTTACCCAACAGCCTCTTGCCCCACACAAGTCTCATTGCCTAGAGCAACTGCTTTTAATATGCGTATTCCATGTTTATTTCTCCTTGAAATGATTCCTCTAACTCCAAATAATATGTTTATATCACCTATGGCAGAGACTGCAACTTGCCTACCCTATATGTAGTTCCCTCTTTTTTCTTGTAAACACAACCCAAATTTCAGTGGTGTCAACTGTGTGCCCAGCTTTTAAAAAACCTACAATTCCCAGCATTCCTGTTGAGAGGCCATGTTTGATGGGCTAGGTAAGAGACTGGGCAGAGGTTATGGGTGTGGCTTCTGAGAACAACTCCATGCACACGCACTTCTTATTGAGCTCTAATTTTTTGCCTATTCATTTCCTCTTTCTCTCCTTAGCCACTGCCCAAGCCCTGACTGTCTTCCTCTGGCCTGGTTGTTTAATGAGAGAAAAAGAAAACTCTCATTTAACCCATTCTTGGTTGAGTTTTCTAAGTACATCCACACATAATCCTTAGCTGGTATACCACCATTTTTTGACTCCACAGCTTAATATATATGTATTTTTGTTCTTTATAGGCTATACAATTTTTAAATAATTATTTTATTTAGCTTTATTTAGTTAGTTAGTTTAATTTGACCAGAGAGGGACAGGACAAGAGAGAGAGAAAGTGAGAAAATAAGTCACCAGGTCCAGGGCTAGAACAGCGCTTGGCCATGTGGGAGTCGGGTGCCCTTAACGACTGTGCCACCTGCTGACCCCAGAGCTTAACATATTTTTTTTTACCATCCTACCACAATAAATCAGAATTTAGCTCTTCACATTATTACCCCTCACAATAGAATACTTACATCATTTTTTGGTTTCTCTTTTGGCTACTTATTTTTTTTTTTTTTGAGAGAGATTTTCACTGTAGGGCGCGTGCGTTCGCCAGACAGACAGAGAGAGACATAGAGACAGAAAGCGAGAAATCACCCCCCAGGGGGGATGGTCACGCCGCAATCCCTTCTCCTCCATTCTCCTCTCGGGATCTTGGGCACGCACGCACACGCGCCCGGCCTGAGTTTTAAGCCACCGGGTCCGGGACACGAACCGCGGTCGACTACATGGGAATCCAGCGACAGAGCCATTACGCTAACTGCTGGTTCCCTTGGCTACTTATTTTTTTCGGTTGTTTGTTTAGTTTTGCTATAGGGCATATGCACTCCCTGTATCAGAGAATGATAGAGGGAAAGTAACAAAGTACTGCTCAGGAGGGGTAGTCACAGTCATACTGTAATCCCTTCTCCTCCATTGTCCTCTCAGGATTTTGGGCACTTCATGTATCCAGTGTGATTTTCAAGCTGCTGGGTCTGGGACTTGAACAACTCAGGCCACCATGTGGAATCCAGCCACCTCAACCACCATACTACTGGCTGACTCCAACAATTTTCTTTCTTTCTTAGAGAGGTTTTTTGTTTGTTTGTTTTGCTATAGGGCATGTGTGCTTGCAAGAGAGACAGAGACAGAAAGTGAAAAATCGCCCCCCAGCAGGGAATGGCCACATTGCAATCCCTTCTCCTCCATTCTCCTCTCAGGATTTTGGACACACACACACACACACACACGTGCCCAGTGTGAGTTTTAAGTCGTGGGGTCTGGGACTCGAACTTCAGTTGACTACGTGGGAGTCCAGCAATGTAACCATTACACCATTTGCTGGTCCCCCAACAATTTTTAAATAGCCTACTTGCATGTTTATTTTCTGACAGATCACTACAGATAGTATTTCATCAGCCTTGTCCTCTTCATGTCTCCTCCCTCTCCTGTACTTCTCCACTTTTGCCACATATTTTTCTTAAAGAATTATTTTATTTAACTTTATTTTAATTTGACCAGTAAGGGAGAGGGAGAGAGCGAGAGAGGGAAAAAAAGAGAGAAAGTGAGAAAGCAAGCCACCAGGTCTAGGACTCGAACTGTGGTCAGCCATGTGGGAGTCCAGCATGCTAACCACCACACCATCTGCCGGCCCTGTCGCATATTTTATAATTTTTTGATCTCTTACTTTTACATCACCGTGACTGATACCACATACATTTTACCAGAAAATGACTTTCACTTTTACAGTCAAATGATAGTTTGGCTCAGAATAGAATTCTAGGTTGCAGATTATTTTCCCCAGAGCACTTTATTTGTCTATTTGTTTTATGATAGTGCATGCATTTAGACAGAAAGCACCCTTGATAGGACTTTGTCAGGGCATGAACCCCTTTCTCCAGCACTCCAGCTTCTCAGAATCCTGAACACCCTCGACAGGCATGTTTTAAAGCCAAGATGGAGGACCATCAGATGGCATAGTGGTTATGTTTCTGGACTTCCACATGGCCGAGGGTGGTTCGAGTCCAGAACCCGGTGGTTTCAAAAATCATGCCGCATGGGAACCAGCAGTTAGCGTAATGGCTATGTCGCTGGACTCCCACGTAGTCAACCACAGTTCGTGTCCCGGACCCGGTGGCTTAAAACTCACGCCGGGCGCGTGTGCGTGCGTGCCCAAGATCCCAAGAGGAGAATAGAGGAGAAGGGATTGCGGCGTGACCATCCCCCCTGGGGGGTGATTTCTCGCTTTCTGTCTCTATGTCTCTCTCTATCTGTCTGGCGAGCGCACACGCCCTATAGCGAAAATCTCTCAAAAAAAAAAATCATGCCGCATACAGGTATGTGCATGTCCACGATCTCAGGAGGAGAATGGATGAGAAGGGATTGTGACATGGCCATCCTCCCTCAGGAGTGATTTCTCACTTTTTTTATTTGTGAATTTATTTTGGGTTTTTTTTTTTTTGTTTTTTTTTTTGGGCAACGGGGCACATGTACTTGCTGGAGAGAGACAGAGGGAAAGTGAGAAGGCACCCCTTAATGGGGATGGCCACTCTATAGTCGTTTCTACTCCATTCTCCTCTCAGGATTTTGGGCTAGCATGCACACATGCCTGGCATGTTTTTCAAGCTGCTGTGTCTAGGACTCAAACCACCCAATCAGCCGTGTGGGATCCAGTTGCCTAACCTCCACATCACCTGCTGGCCACCCCCATATCCCCAACCTTTAAAGATGCTGCTTCATTCATTGTGTTCCCTGAATCTGTTGTTACTGACAAGAGGTTGATGATAATTTGTTTTTCATTATTTTATTTATTTTATTTATTTTTTTGGTGGAGAGGTTTTTGCTATAGGGCACATGCGCTA